TGCAAATCCTAAGGCTGATAGTACATCTAGGTTGAAGTTATAACAGTTCTCCCCCGCTAATGAGAGTTATGTTAAGTCATAATCGCGGAGATGTGCAGGTTTATTGCGTATTCGTGCAGGTCTTTGACTCGACTGTTCCGGATTTTGAGCAGTTGACGATTGGGTTGGCTGCTCTGGAGTTCGAGGTAATGTTTCTGTATGTCTTTCAGATTCTGTATCGTTCGATTCTGAATTAGATTGAGATCCAGTTTCGACTTGTTGAAAATTGTACTGGCTATTCCTATGATTTTGTTGGTCTGCTGGGTCGGAAATCGTATTTGAAGTACTTCCCCGGGTATTACCTATGTCAGGAACATCTTGAGCGAACCTGACTTTCCGCTGTTGAACTTTTGTGACCTTTAGTTGATCTATATGGCGTTTTAAGGTGTAGCCGTCATCTAGTTTAATAATGTAGTGAAGTTGACCTAGCTTTCGTTGTACAGTACCTGTTTTCCAAATTGTTTTGCTGTTTTGTGTATATAACGCTTGTACTCTCTCTCCCTCGCTAATATGGCGCACACCTGGTATAGAATCCGTTACTTTATTATGTGTTATTGGTTTTAGCGCGTCTAATCGAATCCGTATACGTCTTTTTAGGTAAAGTTCTGCTGGGCTCATACCATTACTAAGAGGAATTGCTCGGTATATTTGTAAAATGTCATTGACTTTTTGGCGTAGTGGTCCTGGTTCTGTTGACATAGCTTTTAACTTCCTTTTAAGTGTTTGAACATTTCGCTCGGCAAGACCATTCGTACTCGGGTGCCCTGGTGCTATGAGCTTCTGGTAAATTCCATTTTTGCTGCAGTATGATTTGAAATGTGCGCTCGTAAAAATAGTTGCGTTGTCAGAAACCATGATCGACGGATATCCATGAGTAGCGAAAATATCCGATAGAAGGTTAATTGTGGATTGGGTTGTTGGAGCATCCCGTATAACTCGAAATTCTGCCCATCTAGACTTTGCATCCACGACCACAAGAAAATGATTATCCTGGAATGGTCCGGCGTAATCTATATGTATTCTTTCCCAATTTTCTTTTGGTTCCTCCCAGTGGTGCAGTGGAGCTTTCGCCGGTTTGTTTTGAACTTGAACACATGGTTCGCATGATCGTACTGTCCGTTCTATATCACGGTCAATACCTTTCCAGATACAATATCTTCTGGCGAGTTGCTTCATTTTGGTAACGCCTGGGTGAGTGCGATGTAATTCTTGAAGAACATTTTGCTGTAGGCTTTTTGGAATCACTACCCGTTGACCCTTAAAAATAATGCCGTTATTGAGCATATACGTACCTTCGTCGTTCCCGTTCATCATGTTGGTTAAGATGTTTGAAAGTTCGGGATCTTTTGCGGTTTCCGATGCTAGGATTTCTGAATTTATGTATTCGCTGGATATTTCAAAGATAGATAACAAACATAGTTCATTTATCTCTTCATTTATTACTTTGTCCGTGCAATGATTTCCTGGAATTTGCGTTGCTCTGGATAGACAATCTGCATTAGTATTTTCGGATCCTTTTTTGTAGATTACTTCGTAATTAAAGCTCGACAGGAATTCGGCGTATCGCAGAAGTCTGGCAGATGTTATAGCTGGCATTTTATTGTGCTGTTGAAAAATTCTTGTAAGCGGGCGATTATCGGTGACAAGCTGGAATTTTCTTCCATAGACATACATAAAAAAATGATTTATACTGAATATTATTGCTAATGCCTCGCGATCTAGTTGGCTATAGTTCCTTTCTGCTGCAGTCAGTGATCTGGAAGCGAAGGCAACGGGATGTTCAATGCCGTTTATTGTATGGGAGAGCACCCCTGCTATACCTGTTGGGCTAGCATCGCAAGCAATGACTACTGGAAGTTCCGGATTAAAAGGTCTGAGTACCTGATCGCTACTAATTATGCTTTTGAGTTTGATGAAAGCGGCTTCGCAATTGGAAGACCACTGAAACTGTTTTTCTTTCTGGAGTAGTTGACGTAGTAGGTAAGTTATGGACGATAGGTTTGGAATAAATCTCGAATAATATGTTACCATGCCTAGAAATCTTCTGACATCATCGACTGTTTTTGGACGAGCCATGTTTACAATTGTTTCGACTTTAGACGGTGACTTTGAAATTTGGTTAAATTGTACGACATGCCCTAGGTATTCTACGCGAGTTTTCAGAAACGAGCATTTGCTTTTATTCAAGTGTAAGTCATATTTCTTTAAGCGTTTAAGACATTCGACTAGATTTTGTTTACATTCAGCTTCTGTAGACCCGTGTACCAAAATATCATCGAAGTAGGACATGGTTTTGTTTAAACCCGATAAAAGTTGCTCTATTATACGATTGAATTCTGACGGTGCTGTTTTTATGCCGAATGAGAGTCTATTCATCCTATATGTTCCCTTATGGGTCGAGATTGTTTGAATTTCACTGGATTCTGGATTTACCCTTATGTGTAAATATGCCTTATAGAGATCGAGACGACAAAAATATTTTGACCCTTTTAGGCTATTCAAAATTTCATCGATTCTGCGTATTGGGTAATTAGCTGCTACTAGTTGTGGATTAACCCCTGGTTTATAGTCGACGCATAGTCTAACTTTTCCATCTGGCTTCGGGACAATTACTAGTGGAGAACCCCAGTCGCTCCTTTCACATTTTGAAATAATGCCGGAAGCTTCTAATTCTTCTAATTCTTTTTCGACGGAGTCTCTCAATGCGTACGGAACTTCACGCTCCTTATAAAAAACTGGCTTAGAACCTTTTCGCAGCTGCAATGTGATTTCAATTTCAGGGACACATCCTACTCTTTCTTCAAAAACTTCGGGAAACTCATTAATAATATCAGATATTGAATTATGATTTTGTGCATTGACTTTATTTATGTTGTGTACGCGATGCTTATCGACTTGCTGAAGATTGATGTTTAGGTGTCGAATCCAAACTCGGCCTAACAGTGCATCATATTCATCAGGGACAACATACATTTCTTCGTCGGATATACTATTATTGAATTTTACCCTTACCTTGACTTTGCCATCGGGAACAATGATATTCTTCGTATATGAACGGAAAGCAACACTTGAAGGTTGTAGTTGCTCGTTTATCTGGAGTTGATTGAATTGGTTCCTTGGTATAAGGGTAAACCCGACGCCTGAATCGACCTCGAATTGTTGTTTTCGCCCATTTAATTCAACAGTGACATAATACTTATCAACATCACTGTAACTATGTTGATTCGAAAAAATATCTATAATGCGATTAATGCCATATATTTGATGAATTGATTCCTCGGTATCCTCTGATTTGACATTTGCGTTCTTTGTAGACTTCATTAATGTAGTGATGCATACTTGCTGTACATGGCCTCTTTTACCACAGGAGTTACATTTTAGGTTTTTTGCGTTGGTACGGCACTGCTTCGTTTTGTGGTTGTCTCGTCCACACCGTATACATAAATTATCTATACCAAGCTCTTTGTAATTTACCTTTGATTTTGCTCGTGCCTGCGGTTTTGAATGGCGGCTGGAAGAATGGCTTCTTCCACGATTCTGCTTTCTGCTTACAATTTTATTTACGTCACTAGTGCTATGCTTCGCGTTAATTTCCCGGCTATCTATTTTTGATGCTTCTAGCGATAAAGACTTTTGTACAATTTTATCAAAGTCAGTTTCTTCTGATTGAAGTATTTGCTCCCGTATTGTATTGTCAAATATACCTCGAATAAACTGTGCTCGTAGAAAAATGTTTGAAATATCGGCCTTACAATTGCACGACGACAGAAAATTGCATTCATTAATATCGCGCTTCAATAACGCTACGTATTCCGCAATTGTTTGGCCTTCATTTTGATATGTTGACAAGACCCTATGTTGACTTACTAGAATGTTCCTTTTCGGGCAAAGATGTGCTTCTAATTTTTCAATTATGTCTTTGTATTCGACTTCATTAAGTGACTTCGGGGCAATTAGCGACACAATCAATTTGAAATGTACAGAGCCAATTGAATTAATTAACATTTGATGGCATAGTACTTTGTTTGTAAAAACGCCTTTCATTGTTAAGTAATTCTCGAACCTTTGCCGGTATAACCTAAAATTTTCTTTTGTAGCATCGAAGTGTTCAAAAGGCGGTAAGAGCATTTGGAATGGCTGACTGCCTTGTTGTTGTTGCTGATTGTTCGTATTTGTGCTTATTTGACGCAATAAATTTTGTTGCGCTTTGTTGAATGCTTCTAGCATTTGTGAAAATTGAGTAGCATCCATTTTTGCTATTTTTCCCTTGTTTTACTCGTCGCCACTTTTTATAATCTGGAGTTGGATGTAAATTGAAAGAGCACGCGGTTTC